TCTTAGAATACACTATGAAGACTGCAATATGTATTCTCAAGAAAAATAAAAGAAGAATAATTAAATCATGATAAAATTATGTTTTTTAGTTGAAAATGGTTAAAAAATTATAAAATTGTCTACACGAAAATAATATATGGATATATTTTAAAAGGAAAAATGGAAAAGGATTAGTGGTGCCGCAAGCAAATGATTTTAAAGGACCAAAAAAGAAATTTGGAAAAAAGTATGGTCTAGGAATACACTATAAATACTGTATAATGTATTCTCAAGGGAAATAAATGTAGGATAATTGAAACATGATAAAATTATATTTTTTAGTTGCTAGTGGTTAAAAAGTTTAAAAGCTGTATGCACAAAAATAATATATGGATATATTTTGAAAGGGAAAACGGAAAGGGGGTAGTGGTTTACGCAGGCAAATAAATTTTAAGGATCAAAAAAGAAATTTGGAAAAATTATAGTCTAGGAATACACTATAAATACTGTATAATGTATTMTCAAGGGAAATAAATGTAGGATAATTGAAACATGATAAAATTATGTTTTTTAGTTGAATATCGTTAAAAAAGTTTGAATATTGTGACCGCAAATATAAACTAGAGTTATATTTTGAAAATAAAAATGGAAAGGGGGTAGTGGCGCCTGCAGGCAAATGATTATTAAGGATAAAAAAGAAATTAAGAAAAAATAATAATCTTAGGATACGCTATGAAGACTGCAATATGTATTCTTAAGAAAAATAAAAGAAGAAGAATTAAATCATGATAAAATTATGTTTTTTTAGTGGCTAGTGGCTTATAGAATTTGAAATTTGTGTCCACAAAAATAAACTAGAGCTATATTTTGAAAATAAAAATGGAAAGGGGGTGTTGGCGCCCGAGGGCAAATGATTTATAAGGATCAAAAAAGAAATTTGGAAAAAATAATAATCTTAGAATACACTATGTAGACTGCAATATGTATTCTCAAGAAAAATAAAAGAAGGATAATTAAATCATGATAAAATTATGTTTTTTTAGTGGCTAGTAGCTTATATAGTTTTGAAATATGTGTCCACAAACATAAACTAGAGCTATATATTGAAAACAAAAATGGAAAGGGGTGTTGGCTCCCGCAGGCAAACGATTTTTAAGGATATAAAAAGAAATTTGAAAAAAATTATAGTCTCAGAATATACAATG